CGTCGCAAGTGGTGTTGTAACAGCTGTTTTTGTTTGGAAGTAGCTAATGGTATTTGTGTATTTACGAAAGATTGGTTACTGGACTATGACAATATTGACTCCGCTTAAAAACGTACAGATATAGATTTTAATTCATATTGTTTCCGGTTTCAATTCTGTATGATTTATTTTCAATATTTTAATTAATTTATGTTCATAAATTTAAATTTAAATCATTAAAGTGGGAATTAATGAGCTGATGTCACCTGTCTGCCATGTTATCTTATGGGACGTCTGTCACTGAACAACATACCACTTGCGATGTTGCCAATTCTACCAGGCCGCGGCCTGACGGTTAAAGGCGGCCGTGACTAGGGCCACCATTAATGGAAGTGGGGACCCTCATTATCCATATTATACTATTTAATGTGTAAGTGGCATACCCACCATCATTACTAGTACTTTTTGGTTCAATTAATTATCCCTGTGTAAAAACTAGGAAATCAATAACAAAATGTTTTCCAATTTTGAGGGTTTACCGGAATTTGGAGGTTATGTGTGTATGTTTGATACAAATAAAAAGACACAGGAAGGAAACGGGTTTTCTGAGGTAAGATTACAAGCACTAACCCTCTTTTCAAGCTTGTAAGTAACATAGTATTTGTCTATGCAGCTTGAATATTTGAGATATTTAAATTTAAAAAAAAATTATAAATAAACAATACGATACGCAGTATCGATACATTGGCCCGTATCGCCCATCACTACATTTATAATATTAGTAAGATTTCACTCGTTTAAACAACATCCAAGATATTTGTTTTACCTCAAATAGAATGATGCAGCTGACTTGAAGACAGCTCATATATTTTTATTCTTGGATAAGACGATTCCAATGATCTCTATGTTCTCTGTACTGCATGAAGCATTACAGATGTTCAACTAACTCATCAAAGTTTGGATAGGTCCTAGCAAAATAACTCAAGTTTTCACAATATTGTCTTATAGTGACATTTCTACGTTATTCTCCTTGTCAGATTTGGTCTGCATACAATACATTGGTTGTTACACTCCTTGCGCTCATCATTATAATACTTCTTTGTTATGTTTCACCTAAATTTGCCAAATAATATTAAGATTTTTTTTTAAGTACTATTATAGCCCAGTAGTAAATAGAAAAACATTCAGAACTTGACAAGTGGGTTTTCTTATGGCAGAAGATTGGACAGTCGGTCTAAGCCAGGGCAGGATAAATAAAGTATCAAAGTATTCTGTGTACTGATTTATGTTTATTCATATTTATTTTACCTACAATTTTTGAGATGTAGAACACTTGAACTATAAACAGTAAAAAATCAGAAGATGAAGTTACTAAGTTATTAAATGTCAATAAGTGTTTGGGTGCCTGCAAGAAGTTAATTACATCTAAAGTATTATCCCACAGAAAAAATACAACTATACAGGGTGTCCCACGTAAGGTGTCTCAAATTGATTGTGAAAAAAAACGGCTTTATTACTTTTTCCTTGTTATTTCATTTAACCAACATGCGGTTACTTGGCAACCCCTAAGACTAATGTTAAGAAAATGTGACTTTCAGTTTCTTTTTTCTACATAATTAGATTTTCGTTGGCAATTCTAACTGCAGTAAACTCGTTTTTAGGCCAGAAGTAATATAGCCTATTTACAACATTTGAAGAAAAGGAAATCTTCGAAGCCGTTTTCGAGATCTTTGTGCAAACATACATAAATACCTATTACTATTAGAAAATTTGAAAACAATAAGCATTTGCGAATTTTCAAAAATCAAATTCCCAAAAACTGCCACTTTTTAGAAACGGAAACAGATAATTAATTTTTGCTTCCTGTAAAATGTTTGTCTATTAAATAACTTTAAAATGATGTACGACATGACATATTATGTTTACATTTGAATTTTCCGAGATTGGAACCAATGACTGTTTTTGGCACACCCTGTATCAGAAAAAAGTTAAAAAACACTTTAACGTTATGCCTTGGGTCGATTTAGCGGAGAATAATTTTATTTCATCCTTGTACGGTATGCTATTTTTTTGTATCAATTTGAGACACCTTACGTGACTATAACACACCCTGTATTAGACAATAATGTAACTTATTCTGTTATATGGATGTGAAACATGGGTAACGTCCAAGAATAATGATAAACAACTCATGGTTTTTGAAAATAAAGTCCTAAGAAAAATATTTGGACCAGTGCAAGAGGGAGAAATGTGGCGATAAGGAAAAATAGAGAGCTAAGATCACTATCACCGAACCGGATATTGTTGCAATGGTTAAAGGAAGAAGAATAAGTTGGATAGGGCATGTGCTAAGAAGAGAGAAAGGAACAAGACTGTATGAAGTTTGGAGAGCTACGGTACAACTGGAAGTAAACGTACATTGGGAAGGCCGAAATTCAGATGGACTGACCAATTATTGAATGATGTTAGGACAAAGGGTGCAAACATCAACTTGGCAGAAGACAGTTCGGATGGAAGAGGCTGGTACTTGAGGCGAAGAATCAATTGAGATTTATGGAGCTACGGCGGGAGGGCTGGAACGGCACTCACGGTCAGTCCCTGGTCCTAATCCAACTACGGAACTGCACTCACGGTCACTTTGAGCCTTTCTGGGGGTACCGGAACTGCACTCACGGTCAGTTTTTAATTAGCCTATATCACATTGTGCAACACCATGATTGAATTGATTAAAACTTATTAAATTAGTTGAAATATATTGAAAAGTTTTGATTAAATTAATCCAAACGTCAAAAAATAAACTTACTACTGACATTGCAAAAAATACACATATATATGTGCACAGAAAATTCTAGCATAGTATTTACGATAACATGATAGGCTATATTCTTATTATAACGAAGCTTCTTTTGTAAAGGTTAGGTTAGGTTAGGTTAGGTTATTTATTGTTGTATTTATTGGGACAGACACTAAAACGTGTATTAAATAAAGTATTGGATAAAGTAAGACAGAGGTCGGAATAAACAGATGACTAAGGGGCTAGCGAAGCGTTCAGCCGTGAAAGACCGATTTTTGACCGTGAGTGCAGTTCCATATGGCTTAGGCGGGCTACCCTTCCAACCCTTGTAAATTCCTTTGACCGTGAGTGCAGTTTGTTGTCATCCGCTACGGCAGTATGTAAATTACAAACACTTTAAGGTTGCTCTGGTATGATTCATTGTAAGTTTTTTTTAATTACCTTTTTTAAATTAAATATTTTTAAACAAGTTATAGGGACGCTTAAGTATATGACTTACAGTAATACAAATTAATCATAAATTTTTTATATGAGGATTCTTTACAAATAATGCTTTAATGAGGTCGCTCTCCTGTATGTGCCAATTGATGTTCTTTCAATTTGCTTTCAGATACAAAGGATTCTTCACATGTGAAGCAATTATAAGGACGCTCATTGCAATGAATTAATACATGACTCTTGCAATTGCATTTGCTTGAAAAGGATTTTCCACATTTAGTACAGTTGTGTTTATCTCCGGTATGAACCAAAATATATTTTTTCAAATTGTCCTTTGAATTGAAGGTTTTTTTACATGCATTCCATTCATGAGGATGTCAATTGCCACAAATTAATAGATGTGTTTTATAACTAGATTTGGTAACAAAGGATTTTCCACATGTAGTGCATTTATGAGGTCGCTCTCCTGTATGAACCATTGTATGTAGCTTCAATTGGCTTGTAGATACAAAGGATTTTCCACATGTGGTACACTTATGAGGTCGTTCTCCTGTATGAACCCTTGTATGTTCTTTTAATTTGCTTTTAAAAACAAAGGATTTCCCGCATGTAGTACACTTATGAGGTCGTTCTCCTGTATGAACCCTTGTATGTACTTTCAAATTGGTTTTAGATACAAAGGATTTTCCACAAGTAATGCAAATATGAGGTCGCTCTCCTGTATGAACAATTGTATGTTCTTTTAATTTGCTTTTAAAAACAAAGGATTTCCCGCATGTAGTGCATTTATGAGGTTGCTCTCCTGTATGAACCATTGTATGTACTTTCAAACTGCTTTTATATACAAAGGATTTTCCGCATGTAATACACTTATGAGGTGTCTCTCCTTCATGAACCATTGAATGTTCTTTCAATTGGCTTGTAGATACAAAGGATTTTCCACATGTGGTACACTTATAAGGTCGTTCTCCTGTATGAACCCTTGTATGTACTTTTAAATTCCTTTTAGATACAAAGGATTTTCCACAAGTAATGCAAGTATGAGGTCGCTCTCCTGTATGAACCATTGTATGTTCTTTCAAATTGCTTTCATATACAAAGGACTTTCCGCATGTAATACATTTATGAGGCCGCTCTCCTGTATGATCCATTGTATGTACCTTCAATTTTCTTTTAGATACAAAGGATTTTTCACAAGTAGTGCATATATGAGGTCTCTCTCCTGTATGAAACATTGTATGTACTTTCAATTTTCCTTTAGATACAAAGCATTTCCCGCATGTAATGCATTTATGAGGTCGCTCTCCTGTATGAACCATTGTATGTTTTTTCAAAAAGCTTTTATATACAAACGATTTTCCACAAGTAATGCATATATGAGGTCGCTTTCCTGTATGAACCATTGTATGTTCTTTCAAATTGCCTTTAGATACAAAGCATTTCCCACATGTAACACACCTGTAAGGAGACTTCCCAGAGTGTGTCAACAAATGACTTTTTACGTGACTTAGCTTATTAAATGATTTACCACATGTTAAGCATTTATATAGGTGTTCGTTCGTATGTTTTAATATATGAACCTTCATTTGATATTTCTTTTTTAATGATTGTCCACATATTGGACACTTATGAAAAAGCTCTTTGGATTGCTTTGGCATTTTTAGCTTTGCACTTTCTATTGTTGTGAAACTCAGATTATCAGAATATCTAGTAAAAAATCAGGTGGTTTATTGGTAATGTTAAATGTTTGAATCTTCAGTCTGTTATTTCTATAAGTTCAAGGTATTACCGTGGAGGGAGGTGTTGTCCTACGTACAATCCAAATTAGGACTCGTTTGGCAATTGGTTCTTATTTCTTATGCCTGAGTTCTATTTTCATTCCTGAAATAACACAACTTTCATTAGATAAACACTAACACACATACATAATTTATTATGACCAATATATATATATATTAATTGTCTTTACAATTGAAGGCCTTTTAACACGTATTACAATTATAAGGTTGCTCATTGCTTTGAATTAATTTGTTTGTTGTAATTGCTTTTGCTTGAGAAGGATTTTCACATGTAGTATTTTCCACTGATGAGGTCACTCTCTCATATGAACCATTGTATGTTTTTAGATACAAAGAATTTTTTGCACACAATACTGTTATGAAAATAAATGTTAAAAACCAAATTTATATGGGGTTTTTAATGGATTTTAACTTTCTAAGACATAACTAAAAAGACTTAATTATTATAGGTAACCATGATAGGTAACGTTATTCCTGGTTTTATATAGTGTACAGTACATGAGTGTACAGTCCCTAATGAATACATTGCAGAATTGACTGGCAAATGAGTAATCTAAATTTAATATTGCCCGCTGGCTTAATGATACATCACGATCAGCTGTATTGAAGTAAACAAAAATCAGCAGTAAAAAGGCTTTTAATGCTATTCTTATGGAGAACATTTAACGTTATATCTCGTTTTCTGGTAAATTTATGGGAATTCTGCTATTTTCCCCGAGTCCCTGGGGTCAAGACGTTTATTTTAGATCCCTCCCACTTTTCTGCAACTTACCAGACGTCCACAATTTTCTGGTAAAAATCTTTTCTTGAAGAATTATATATAAAAATAAGCAAATTGTAAACAAAAACACATCCCTATATAAAACCGGCCATAACTAACATTGAAATTGTCTTTCTGATCCATACGGTTGATGACTTATCAATAAGAGAGTATGTTTAATCTAAGCTAAAACTCTACTCATTCAATTTCATTAGGATTTTCAGAGCTCATAATATTATCCAAAGCTAATATTATTATAATATTATCATTGACTTTAGGATACTGACAATTGATTGTTCTATCAATCATCAAAGCTAATACGTTAGTTAGTTCATACACATGCTAATGCTTTATCTGGTTAACAGAATAAAATCATATCAATACTTGAGAGAGCCAAATATAGTATCTTAATTCTTTTATAGTAAAATGAAAATTCAACAAATTTTTTCTCCATTATTTAGTGGCAGGAGAAGGAACAAGACTGTATGAAGTTTGGGGAGCCACACCTGGAGGTAAACGTCCATTGGGAAGGCCGAAATTGTGATGGACTGACCAAGTATTGAACGATGTTAGGACAATGGGTGCAAACATCAACTTGGTAGAAGACAGTTCGGATAAAAGAGGCAGGTACACGAGGCGAAGGATCAACTGAAATTTATGGAGCCACGGCAGTATGTAAGTACAAACACTTCAAGGTTGCTCTGGTATGATTCATTGTATGTTTTTTTTTAATTGAATGTTTTAAAAAAAAGTTATAGGGACGCTTAAGTATATGACTTACAGTAATACAAATTTATCAAATTTGTTATGTATATGAGGATTCTTTACAATTAATGCACTAATGAGGTTGCTCTCCTGTATGTGCCAATTGATGTTCTTTCAATTTGCTTTCAGATACAAAGGATTTTCCACGTGTAATACAATTATGACGTTGCTCTCCTGTATCGACCCTTGTATGTACTTTCAATTTGCTTTAGATGCAAAGGATTTTTCACAAGTAATGCATATATGAGGTAACTCATTGTTATCACTTAATACATGACTCTTATAAATAGTATTTTTACTTGCAAAGGATTTTTCCCATGTAGTGCACTTAGGAGGTATTTCAGTATGAAACAATTCATTCTGCTTTTAGATACAAAAGCATTTCCCGCATGTAATGTGGAATTTAATTTATGAGAACGCTCATTGCCATGAATTAATAGATGTCTATTATAAATGTGTTTTGATACGAAGGATTTTCCACATGTAGTACACCAACAAGGCAGGCCCGCTTTTATAAAGGGCAGACTGGGCATATGCCCAGGGGCACCGGTGGTTGGGGAGCGCCCGAGGGGCGCCTTAACCGCCGCTTGCACTAGGAAAAATTGGTTTTGATCAGTGGCGGCGATAAGAACCCGCGGGCCCCCCCGCAAGTTTGATCGCCGGGCCCCCCTCTCCCAATGGTCTTTAAAACCATTTTCCCATGTATTGCCGCCTAAACTTGCAATTTTGCAATAAACTTGACAAGGCATCTCCCGAGGCGTCATTATCGTCTTCCATGATCGCGGCAAAATCGTATATACTTCCCGTAGTCATAAGTCACGGAAGAAACATTATCATAGAAGAAGAAGAAAAACATGCTTTATTTTTCACAAAAAACATTGACAAGATTAAATAAAAGCATATATCAACAATGGTTATAGTTTACCGTGATTGCAAATGCAATCAAACCTATGACATCATTAGATAGCAGTATCGTCTCCCACGGTCACGGCCCAATCTAATATCACGGCCTAATATCTCCCCGCGACCAGTCGGTGGTGACGGGTAAATCATTTTTCCGTAATCGCGGCTAAATCCTAGATATATCTTTCGCTTAAAAAGAAACGTCATTATCGTCTTTCGCAATCGTGGCAAAATATTGAACACCTGCGGCTGCGGAGACATCGTCATCGTCACCCGCGGAGAAATGTTCTCGTCGATATCTGCAATCCCGGCAAAAGCGTAGGCCTAATCTTTCAATTTCGTGAGCGTGATCCTCACGGATATAAAAGCTTTTACTTTTAATTGTGTGTTATTGTATTGAATACTGAGAAAATCGGCTCAAGCTTGATTTTCTGACTTTGTGCTTGATCTCTAAAGCTTGTAGTCCAGGCTCTGCTCGGCTCGAAAATCGACATTGTAGGCCTATTATAAAAATCAACCGTTTCCAAAACAACCCGATTTTGAACCGATCTGATTTGGCCTGAGGGCCTTAGGTAAGTAAAATTTTTTACCTGACTTGATGTAAACACATCTAAAGTGCGAAGTAAACAAATCTATAGGGCAGCCTCCTAATAGTAAGACATGAAATGAAAATCCTTCTTTAGCATCAATGAAAGAATGGAATTATTTATTAGCTAGTGCCCTAGCCACCTAGGTTAATTTGCCGATTTGGTCGTAACGAAATTGTCAAGTTTATTTAGTCGAATCAGCATAGAGGATCCTCTATGCTCTATGGTGTCACCCGCTGGGGGCTAGGTAGGAAGTATGTATAATAGGTTACGTACCTTGTTCCGTCTTCAGTCTTAAACTTAGTCTATGGATGACTAGTTTCGGGTACAAAGACCCATTATCAAATCCTTATTTAAAACTTCATATTTAATATGATCCGACGTAAGTCTTCATCAATGTATACATGCAGGTCGGCGACACATAAAATTTACACATTTAAAAAACAAAAGTTACAAATACATTTACGATAGGCCGGCCACATTGAATACGGGACAAACCGACGCAGGTTAAACGGGGGACACGACAGAACTCAATAAAGCATATTCAATATGATGTTTTAAATAAGGATTTGATAATGGGTCTTTGTACCCGAAACTAGTCATCCATAGACTAAGTTTAAGACTGAAGACGGAACAAGGTACGTAACCTATTATATATTCGATTATCAGTCTTGGTGGCAAAGATGTTTAACATTAATGTTTTATCTTCCTAGGCCAGAGGCCACATTGGTTATAAATACGGTCCTATTATTATGCAACCAATTTTGACTGCGCCTTCACACAATCCACGAGGACAATTAATGCAACGCGCATGACTGATGACAATTCTTTTACTTAGGTTGGTAGATAATTTATATCGATCGGTCAAGTAATAGTGTAAGTTTAGCTGTTGTAAACTACTACTTGAACTATAGGTTTGAACAAATTTTCATCATAAAAAACGTATTTTAATTCTCATATAAATAATATTGTTATGATAGGGGACCCGTGTGGCTGAGCCTGACACACTATCACGGGCCCGTGTGCCGGTAAAATTTACCGAAAATCCCGGTCAAGGCTCACGGGCCCCCCTAGCTCGCGGCCCCCCCCCCCCCCCGCACCGGAATTTTTAACTATACTGGCCACAGGCAATGGTGGTGTCATGTAGGTTAGGTACATTATTAAATGTGAAAAATACACTTGGACAACTTTATGCGGCTATGGGTAAGTCGGGATACATTTGTTGAAAACATTATAAAAGATAGGAGACTATTTTACGCCGGTTCAGGCAAGAGGTAATAAACGGAATCGTATAAAAATTTCTTTAGACAGCCCGGGAAACGAACGAAGTCATGGGTGAGGAAAAAGTGGAAAATATGATCCTTACGCAGATTGTGACTGGTATGAGTAATCTATGGGCAAATGCCCATATATAAATCAAATCCTCCAATGTGGAGGATCTCACTGGAGTGTAGTTGTTTATGACAAGCTGTGTAATACCTTCTTTCACTATGACTCAATAAAAGGTCATAACATGTCATGTGCCACTATTGTTTGTGACAAAGTCTTAAGATACTTAAGTGGAGGCAGCGATACTGCAGACAAAATTGAAGTCAACACTCCACAGCAGGGAAATGGATATGACTGTGGAATATATGTCATAACTAGCAGAGTACCGGTCCTTCGTACGGGGTTGGAATATAAGTATAAAATGCTTATTGCAGTTATACTCAAGCTTTGCGTTTGCAATAAGGGATGTGTCCTCCCTTATAATTAAGGGAGTAGTTTGATAAAATTTGCTTTTTTAAATTTACAATATTCTATAGTATTACACATCTACCATAGCCATAATGTTCTACCACTTCACCTAAACAATAGAGAAAAATAAATTATCAACAATTCGCAAAATATCACAAATTATTCATGAAATGAAAAACATAAACATAACTGTAAACAATCCTACTTTGACAGTTCTCATTGTGAATCACAGTTTTTTGTTGCTGCTTAGTTCAAATTAGCTGTTTTCATAAATGAAAAAAAAAATATTATATAGTGTTGGTAAATCTTATAACTTTTTAATGCTTTTCC